CCAGGGGTTGGTCCAGCTGGCGGAACATGCCCTCCAGTGCCCTGCGGCGGGGGCGATGCCACGCCAGTCACCCGCCCCAACATCCACCGCCCGCCCCAGAGGACGCTGCCCCGTGCACGGAGAGGACCAGAGGCTACTTACTTGCCCACGGCCACCAGGTCATACTTGTACTGGCGGAAGCTATTAATGCCACGGAGAGTGAGGGCTTCCACCCGGTAGCGCAGGAAGAGGCCATGGGGGCCGTGGGGGCGGCCGGAGGCCTGCCGCAGCACCATGAGCAGCAGTGTCTGCAGACCCTGCAGTGGCCCATCCAGCGACGTCCAGTCCTGAGGCTGCAGCTGTGGAGGCATGAGGGCCGGGTGAGACCACCTCTCAGCCCCGCACAGGCCCCGGGCCCCAGGTGGCAGCCTACCTTGCCCTGCAGCGTGCACAGCAGCCCCCCTTTCTGACAAAAGGTCTGGAAAAGGTTGAGCAGGTCGAGGTTGGGCAGCTGCCCATTCAGCCCCTCTACTACCACGTCAAGGCTGGTGACCACGTCACTGCTTAGCTCCAGGGCCACAGCAGCCTGGATGGCCCCAGCCCGGCCCTGCAGGGAGGACGACTGCATGCCTGTAATTACAAGGGAGCACCAATGGGGATCCGGGAGCACAGGGACGCTAAGAGGGACCAGCTCAGGGTGACCACACCTACCAGTGACATTGACATCGTGGTAGGCTTCAAGCCAAGCCTCAGTGCCCAGGAGGTCGTGCTCTGTCACCAGGAAGATGATATCTTTGGCCCAGTAGATCTGACCTGGAAGCCAGGGGAGGGTCAGCAGAGCCTGGGCAGTGCTGACCCCCACTGGCAGTGGCCCTCAGTACTTACCCCGGAAATGGGCAGCGAGCGCCAGCAGCAGCCCCACCGCCTGGCTGTTGGTGGAGTCGGAGCCACAGGACACGGTGAGGACCAGGGCCTCGGTGCTGGCAGCACGGGGGGCTCGCAGGATGCCGTACACGTTGGTTCCCGACACCATCTGCGGGCGGGATGCGGGGAGCCGACCTCAAGGGAACCCCAGGGCCAAAGGCCCGAAACCCAGGGCCATGCCTCCCACGGGGCTTCCTGGCCCGGCCACCTTCCCCTCATGACTCCCGGCCTGAGACCCCCCTCCGGGCAACTTTCGGACCCCGGGCGCCCCGTCCCCCAGTACATAGCGCTCGTGGGTCTCGTCCGGGAAGGGCAGCTTCCGGGAGAAACTCTGCGTGTAGACCTCCAGCCCCACGGAGCGCATCGTCCGCTCCAGCCAGGCCACCGGCAGAGCCCTGCGGCGGAAGGGGCGTCTGAGCAGGCTCGCTCGCCGCCGCGCCCCGCGCCCCCGGCCCGGCGCTCACCCCGACTTCCTGCGCTGGGCTGCGAAGTCGCGCGCGAAGGCCCGGGCGCGGTCCCCGCCCGCAAACTGCTCCTCCACCATGGTGGAGCCCATGGCGTTCTCCGACATGTAGGTGCGCTGGGTCAGCGGCGGGAACGCCAGCGCCAGGAACCAGGCGACGCCCGCCGCGTAGCTCAGTACGCTGCGAGAGAGGACGCGGGGCTGCAGCTGCGCAGGCCCGGGGCGCGGGGGG